GGGGGGGAAATGGGAGGCTGGGAGGAGGCGGAAACTTTTTTTTTCCTATTCTCAATAAAAAAAAGTCAAAATTAAAAAAAAAAAAACACAGTCAGGCTCAAAACATTAAAAAAAGAAATCCAGGACACTATGAAAAGACCAAGCCTACAAATAATAGGTATAAAGGAGAAGAGGTTCAGTTCAAAGTCACAGAAAAAAAAATATTTTTTCAGTTTGGGTTTTTTGTTTGTTTGTTTGTTTTGTTTTTTGAGATAGGGTTTTTCTCTAACAGCCCTGGCTGTCCTGGAACTCACTCTGTAAAGCGGGCTGGCCTCAAACTCACAGGCCTGCCTCTGCCTCCCCAGTGCTGGGATTAAAAGCATGCACCCCACTCACAGAAAACATTCTTAACAAAACCATGACTGAAAATGTCCCCAATCTAAATTAGGATGTAGCTGCCACAGGAGACAGATGCTGGATGCCAAATGGAACCTTACTGGTAAGTCACAACTACGTGGCGATACACAGATAAATAGAAATGGGTTTATTTAAGATGTAAGAGCTAGCTAGAAATATATATATAAGCTAATAGGCCATGCAGTATTATAATAATTAAGTGTCTGTGTGATTATTTCAAGTCTCGGCAGCCGGAGAAAGAACAAGCGGCCTCTAACTATGTTAGGAAGTGCCCATTGAGGAGCAAGAAACAGACAGAATACCGAATATCTAGGATCAGAAAAGAAATTCCCCATGACACGTTATACACAAAATGCTAAAACTTAGACAGCAGGGTTCAGCTATCCAGAGGTCCTGCTGTGCTTGCAGCATCTTTTGGACGGATACTAGAGGCTGAATAGCTCTCGAACTCATGGCCTGGAGCAATACCAATCTAGTCCCACTGGGCCAGGTCAGCACGTGACCCCATTTGGGTGCCTTTCAGGTTCTTCCTGTGCTTTCAGGCAGGGGTACAGCATTGGATCTCCATCCGCTTGCCTGGGAAGACAAGGTGTATTTCAGAGTGTTCCCACAACCAAAGAGAACAGATGCAACAGACAGGATGTGTAGGTGCAAGGACCTGAGATTCCTCTGTTACACTCTGGCTACCACCATCTCTTATTCACCAACCCAGACATGACCCCAAGAGCAGGGGAGCCCTTCACACCTGAGCAATGGGTCCATCTTTCTGTCAGACTTCTACTCTGTGTCCCAAGGCAGTCAGATGGCTCCAGTCCTGCAACCCAAATAATCCCCAGGATGGGAGGTGTGCAGACCTGGCCTGAGATGAGGGGGAGCTAGGCCTAGGTCTGGGAAGGATAGATAAGGAATTGTCTGCCCTGTACTCTGAGTGCTTCCCTGAGGCTGTGTCAGGTAGATGGAGACCAAAGCCATGTTTATTCCAGTACCTGTGGAATGGAGACATGAAGAGGTGGGAAGCAGTCAGCCAGAAGGACCCTAGCCTGCTTGGAGCAACCCTTGATCCATCAGTGTGATCCTAAAGGTGGAGCCAACTAAGGTTCCTGGAAGTTGAATTGGTCTGCAGACCATGGTAGAAGAAACACAGACAGGCTGAGCCATTCCGAGCCAAGCCAGCCTGTGGTTCTTCACCCCTCCCCCCAACCCTGCCACCCTCCACCGGAAGTACCCGGCCCACTTCTAACCTCGGGTCTCTGATGTGGACAGAGATATGGTTACCGAATCCTGGGGATCGCTCGCCAGCCGTTGTCCAGCACACATGGACTTCAGTATCTGGAAGACGGCCAGAGGAGCCACGTTCAGATTCAGCAAGTCCACCAGGATCCTGGGGAAACAAATGTGGTGCTTAGCGAAACCTGAGCCCCTCAGTGCATTCCAGTTCCATGTGTCGAGCCAGCTGGGTCACCGCCATGGAAAGGCGTACAGAGACCGGGAGTTTTCAGAGTAGCGGATCGAGGCCGGAGGGGGCCGGAGGCAGGCTCCTCTGCAGGGAGTGTGAGCTCGAAGCCCTGACCCTTGCCTTCTCACTTGAAAACATCCGGGTCGATGACGGTGCCAGCAGCCTGTGCAAGTTCGTACAGCTCCATTTCCTCGGCTTCCAGCGCCTTCTTCCGCCGAAGCGACAACTTTTGCAGCGTCGCCGCCTCCAGCCCTGTGGATGTGCCCAGTCCGGCACCACCACCCCCTGCCGCCATCAGCGCAGCCTGAAAAAAGGGTGAGCTTTGGGCCTAGGCCGCCAGGAGATTGCACAGCGCCTCCTGCTGGCCACCCGGTTCCATGCAGGATCCCCGCCTGTCCCAGCCAGGCAGCTCCAGCGTGGAGGGCGGGGCCGGGGTAGGGTCCGGAGGAATCTTTTCCTAGTTGATTGTTTGTAGGGTCGGGAGGAATCTTTTCCTAGTTGATTGACTTGTACTGAGTGCCCTGTGTACACAGGGCAGTGTCTTAGGCATGGGGATGGTACGGTGGAAAGCAGCACCCAGAACCGTGCCTGGCAAATACTGGATCTTGGTAAATGTCTGTTAGATCACGAGTATTCATGATTGCATGTAATTATCTCTTCTGCCAAGGGTCCCTAAACAGTTTTTGCTTTTAAGCAGCACACACATTCCTTCCCACTGGAATACGAAAATTTAGACGTAATAGGGCACTGACGCCATCACTGCGCACGCGCCTTTGTGGCCAACCGCTGCTCTCCCTTCACTGTGCGCATGCTCCTTTCCCTGGTTGGGAGGTAGTTTTTCAGATACGCCAGAGGCTTGTCTTGATGACGGCGTAGCTAGATACGCCTTTCCCTCCCATACTGTGTGGCCGATAGTGGTTTCGGGTTTTGAAGCTAGGTGAACCCACACAAAGATCAGAGATGAAGTCAGTAAGTCAGTTTGACCTGTGTGATGAGAATGGTAAATGTTTGACCCGCCACCGTGAGACAAATGTCACTGCCGTCCGTGCAGGGTGAACCTGAGAAGCCAGTGCCCGAGCAGGGGGAAGGGGACCAGGAGGGGCATTTTAGATTTGTGCAGTGGCATCTGGGAGATGATTTGTCTCATAATGCTTTGGACATTTTTAAAAGTCTTTTGCTTATATATTATGGTTTCCATTTATGTGTTTTCATGGGGTTTTGTGTCTGTGTTTCTGTCTGTGTATCTTGTGCTTTATCTTTGTTTTTTTTCTCTGTGTTTTATTTTAGCTTTTTTTTTTTTTCAGTGTGCCTGTTTGCTAGAGGGAGAGAAAAGTGTTGGGTTGAGTAGGTGGGGAAGTAGAGAGGATCAGGGAAGAGATGAGGGAGGAGAAACCAGGATCGGATATAGGGTATGAAATTATTTTTAGTAAAAATAGATATATGGGATGAATAGTCTCCATTCCTAGAAAACTGTCCATTGCTGAGAGTTTAGAGCATCTTTTCAGTACTCAGCCTGTCTTCTTTCTCCCCTGCACTGGGCACAGATATGCTGGATCTGCTGGTCCTCATTGCTTCTCACCACCTACACTTTGTGAGCCTCTTGCCAGTCACCAGGGTCCAGATCTCTGGACTAAACCCTGGGGTGGATTTGCAGTCCTGGCCCTCCAGGCTGCAGACATGGCTTTCCATGTTGAATGTGGCATCTGTCACAAATGAGGATCATAGTGACAGGAAGCTGCTGGTGACTGTGACGAGCCAGGGCTGGCTGTGGGGAGTGAGTTTGGCTCCAGGAACAGATATTTTAGGATTTATGTTCATCTTGTCCAGCACCTGCTTCCCAGGGCATAACATCCAGATGCTTGCTTGCAGAATTCCATAACATTTCCTCAGGATTTGTGCAGAGCTATGGCCATGATGTACCTGTAGGTCCTGCCTCTTCATTTCTCATGGGGCTGGTGGGCTTGCATGGGTGGAGGTGGTGGCTCCAGGATCCAGCACCTATTGCTCAAAGCCCCCAATGCTACTAACAGGAGGTGAATCCCAATGCTGTGCAGCCCTATCCTAGCATAAGAGCTGTTATCTCCATGAGATCAGCTGTGACTGTTTGTAAGAGTGAATCTCCTCAGCCCGCAGATGGCTCTAATCCTTCATAGAAGTGAGGGCAAGGTAGGGTCATTGGACCCTCACTTAGTTGCTCCACTTGGCCCTTTGCTTACAGTTCTGCCCTGATCATGCATGGCTTCAACTCCAGGCAATGCCAGAACGCTAGTGCCTTAGTTAAGGTTTCTGTTACTGCAGGGAAACACCATGGCCATGAAGCAAGTTGGGGAGGAAAGAGTTAATTTGAGTTACACTTCAACATCACTGTTCATCACTGAAGGAAATCAGGACAGAAACTCGAACAGGTTAGGTCCCAGAGGCAGGAGCTGTTGCAGCCATGGAGGGGTACTTACTGGCTTGCTTCTAATGGTTTGCTCAGTCCTTTTTTTTTTTTTTCCAATATTTTGAGACAGGGTTTCTCTGTAGCTTTTTGGAGCCTCTGTCCTGGAACTCACTCTGTAGACCAGGCTGGCCTCAAACTCATAGAGATCCCCCTGCCTCTGCCTCCCAAATGCTGGGATTAAAGGTGTCCGCCACTACTGCCCAGTGAACCCTCCTTAGACTTATAGTAGTACCCAGGACCATCAGTTCAGGATGGCACCACCCACCCGGGGCTGGACCCTCCCACATTGATCACTAAATGAGAAAATATCTTATAGCTGGATCTCATGTAGCCATTCATTCCCTCCATGGAGACCCCTTCCTCTGATGACTCTAACTTGTGTCAAGTTGACACACAAAACCCAGCTGGATCGTAAAGGCTGAGGGAGGGGAATTGAGGGCTCTTGTACTAATGCACATTTAGACACTCAAACATTTACACACTCCACACACATTATCAGCTCGCACATATCACACACACGTAATCTCAACACACACATATACATTGTATTGGCTAGTGTTTTGTCAATATGACACAGGATAGAATCATTTGGGAAGAGAGAACATCAGTTGAAAAAACTGACCAATGGGCAAACCCGTGTTCCATTTTTTCTCTTTCTTTCCTTTTTTCTTTTCTTTTTTATGATTTATATCGAAATGCCCAGCTGACTATTGGCGGTACCAAATCTGGACAGTTGGTCCTGGATGGAATAATAGAGCAGGCTGAGCAAGCCATGGGAAACAGCCAGTAAGCAGCTCTTCTCCATGGGCTATGAATCAGTTCCTGCCTCTGTGATCCTGCCTTGAGTCCATCCCCTGACTTCCCCAGATGATGGAGCATAACCTACAAGTTAAAGTAAACCCTTTCCTCCACAAGTGGATTTTGGTCATGGATTTTATCACAGGGATGGAGACCTTAGCTAAGACATATGTCTTTCCACATTCTTTTACACTTAGAAATGGACACTTCTACTCCAGAATCCTCACATATACTTACACTGTATTGTACACTCAGGATTATTCTCATGTTGCATGCAATTTTATATGCTCACACACCTGCACACTTCAGTGAACACAGTGTTAAACATAGTCTCACACAGACATGCTTAAAGATGTAAACATGGTTGTCTGTATACACAATCACACGGTCATACCTTTACACCTTCTGCATACGTTATTGCATATACTTACATACTCTGTGCTAGTTAGTTTTGTCAGCTTAATGCAAACCTAGACATTAACTGAGAAAAAGAAATCTCAATGGAGGAGCTGTCTCTGTCAGTTTGGCCTATGGCCATATCTGTGTGACATTTCTTAATTACTGCCAATGAAGGAAGACCCAATCCACTGTGGTTGGTGCGATTCTTTTTATTATTATTATTCATTTTACATTCCAACCACAGTTCTCTCTTCCACCCCTCCCTTGTCTACCCCAGCCCACTCCCCATCCACTCCTCCCAAAGGGTAAGGCCTCCTGTGGGGAGTTGACAAAGCCTGGCATGTTAAGTTGAGGCAGGACCAAGCCTCCCGCCTGCATTAAGGCTGAGCACAGCATCCCACCATAGGGAATGGGCTCCAAAAAGGTATCTCGTGCACCAGGGATAGACCCTGATCCCACTGCCAGGGGCCTCTCAATTGACCAAGCTACACAACTGTCTCCCACACGTAGAGGACCTAGTTTGGTCCCATGCAGGCTCCATAGCTGTCCGTCTAGAGTGTGTGAGTTCCCACGAGCTTGGTTCAACTGTCTCAGTGGGTGTCCCCATCATGCTCTTGACCTCCCTTGCTCTTATTATCCCTCTTCCCTCTCTTCGACTGGATTCCTGGAGCTTGGCCTGGTGCTTGCCTGTGGATCTCTGCATCTGGTTCCATTAGTTACTGGATGAAGGCTCTGTGATGACAATTAGGGTAGTCACCAATATGATTACAGGAGAAGGCCAGTTCAGGCACCCTCTACACTATTGCTTGGGGTCTTAGCTGGGATCTTCCTTGTAGATATTTGGGGATTTCCCTAGCACTAGGTTTCTCCTTAGTTCCATAATGGCTCCCTCTGTCAAAATATCTCTTTTATTGCTCTCCCATTCAGTCCCTCCCCCAACTCAACCATCCCATTCCTTCATGTTCTCATCTCCCACCCCCACTTCCAGTTTACCCAGGGGATCTCATCTAATTCTCCTTCCCAGGGCTATCCATGCATCTCTCTCAGGGTCCTCCTTGTTACCTAGCTTCTCTGGAGCTGTGGATTATAGTCTAGTTATTCTGGCTTTACATCTAGTATCCACTAAGGA